ATTAGAACAAATCATTCTATTCATTAAGAGAATGCAACTATATATCTATCCCAACCACTTTGAATACACAGATACAAAATGGACATTCATAGTTATATCCCAATTTTTTTAAGTTCCGTTGTTGAATATTACAGGTGTGTAAACTCAGCAAAATATTCTAAAAGAGTCCAGTAGCCATGTTGGCTTTTTAAATGCTTTTCTTTATCTATAGAAATGGTCATATTGTTAATGGCTTTGTTGTTTTAGAGTACATTATTTGTATTTTTCATAAAATTTATTCCCTTTTTTATTAGTCAGATTTTGATCACAGTGACAAAATATGTGAGAAAATCTACTTAAAGATGTAAAGTTTATTTGGGCTCATGATTTTGAGATATGGTCACTTGGTCACATCATTTGAGACATGGTCACTTGGGTCTGTGGGGAGACAGAGCATCTTTGTGAAAGGGTGTGGTGGAATAACTTGCTTGGTTCATGGCAGCCCAAAGGCAGAGTGAGCTAGAGAGGAAGGTGCTGGGGACAAGATACCCCTTCCAGGGCACACCAGCAGTGACCCGCCCCCTCCCTCTCGTAGGCCTGACCTCCCAAAGTTTCTGCCATCATCCAGGAACGCCATCAAATTATGAGTCTTAACAATCGATTAATCCACTGATAAGATCAAGATCCATATGATGCAGTTGCCCTCCAGAGGCCTTACCTCTGGATGCTGCTGAATTGAGGGGGCCCAGCACATGTGATCTGGGGGATGTTCCAGGTGTAACCATGATGCCTTACATGATTGCCTGATACACTTCATCAGAGATATTCTTTTAAAATGATAACCTGATTATACAGTGATTTTAATCATGTTCTTATCTTTCCTGATTAGTAAAAGAGAGCCACAAACCTGAATTTATAGAGCTAAAGAAGTGGCTGAAAGATAGGAATTTTGAAGACACAAATTTAACACCTGCTCAATTTCCAGGTAAGAATGTGGTATTGGGCTCTCCTGACCTCTCAGGTGAAGGCCGTGGGGGAACCTAGGGTGATTCTCCCTGTGGGCTGGGTTTTCTCTGCCTTCCTCCTTTGAGCTATACTATTTATTCGTATTTCATGTTGGTGTAAAAGTGAATGAGAGTGACTTGCAGAGAGCAATAACAAAATGATGAAGTAAGGTTTAAAAATGGACAAAAGTGGATGAGCATAGAAGTATAAGTTGAAGCCAGGAGTATGTGTAACACCTGAACACTGCAAGTATAAAATCTGACACTTGGCAAAGATGAGCTGCAAATTGAAGTCATCTTGCCAGCAGCTTGTGCAGTGGATAGGGTGAGTGACCTTAATCTGAACATTCTATAAACTAGACTGCCTTGTTTCCTGAGAAGATATGGGCAAGGTGCTTGTGTACTTCAGTGAGTGGTGTGTTCTGAGCATCCCTGGGGTGGTTTCATGGTTCAGACTGGCAGGATGATGGGACTTTCCCAGACCCCAGTAGGTAAGAGTAGTTTCCTAAAGCAGGAGGAGGTTCCAGAACCAGTTGAAGTGTGTGTTCTCCCTTGAGTGGTGTGGCTGTGGGAGACTTTTCTGGGGAGGCCTCAGCATGCTTGTCCTTGGCTGGTTTTCAGTTGTGGTTCGCACACGGAGGGGAAGCTCTGTGTGGGACCAGTTAGTCCCAGAGCTTAGGTTCTCACAGTCACCTGAGCTGAGAGAAACATTCTCTTCTGTAAATGGAATCCTTTATTATGGAGCTTAAATTGACATTTTCTTCCGGAACATTCTCTCCCAGGAGCTAGAAATCATGCTGTGTGTGTGCCTACATGCAAGACCACCGTACTCTGCCCACGGGTGGGCTGAAGATGTCCACAGAGTGGTAGACCAAGATGCTCTTTGAAAGGACTTGCGGCCTTGGTGGCATAGGCATAGTTATGTGATTAGGATCCTGAAGTTCTGCACCTCGAGGAGGCTGCAGAACTTAGCACATAGTGTACAGATGCTCCGTGTGGTCATTACAAGGGTCATTCAGGTACCCATTAGGTAGCTGAACTTGAAGAAAATTAACTTTCTTTTACATCTGTCATGATAAATGATTTCACATGTGCGTCCCTAAGTAAGTGTGATGATGTGTGTGAACTTGTTTTCCAGGAGTGAGTCATGGGCATGGGGTGACTGGGGTAAAATGCTTGATTTAAGGGATGAACCTAAATAATGACAGAGAAGTGCTCTCAAGAGCGTGCCAGGGTGAGGTTCAAAAAAACAAAGGAAGGCAGGGCTTTTAAAGGAGAGATGAGGAGGGTTTGGGAAGTTGTTTTGAAACAGCTATCCTTGGCTGCAAGGACCAGTAATAAGGGTGGCATCTGTCCCAGGTTGAACAGCAATTGCTGGGCAGGCACCTGCATGGAACTGTTTGTGTAAGATTATGATTTTGCAGAGTATTTTGTAATAGTATCAAGAAATCAAGTGTGCAATCCCTCCCTTCTTGGCCTTGCCTGGCTCCTTTAGTCTAGGTTTAACACAGGTTAAACCATTGTGGTTGTGGAAACTTTCACAGAGCTGATTTTATTTGGGCCTCTCCTAGTTTATGAGCAAGACCTGTGATTGTCATCTGCCGTCATGGTGTTTAACTGTTTCTGTGGGGCAGATAATGGCTAATGAAAGCCACTCTCTGAGGTTACTGTACTATGTGGAGTTCTTCACCAGCTGAAAAGAAAAAATAATGTCAGAAGTCGTGCTGTTAGACTTTAGGTCTCAAGCTTGCCTTGCCCTTCAAGGATTATAAATCCATAGGTGGTTTGGGCCATTTTCCAGAATAGCTTTCTGATCCTGTCCTCCTGGAAGCCAAAGGTTGAGAGACACTAGCTTTATGCTTAGATGACTTCAAACTTCATTTGCAGTTTTTATTCTGTGTGGGATTTCTTGGACCGTGAAGTTATAGTGGGATTCGCCCTTTTCTTGTCTTTGTGTCTGTAGGTACTGGAAGAGGGCTGATGAGCAAGCGATCCCTGCGGGTAAGAACTTCTCTTTTATCCTTGAAACCTAATATATTTTTTGCTGCTTTGTTTTTGGGGTTCAAGTGAAATGAATTAAAAGTACTTCAGATGGGCAGGCCTTTCTCTTACATAATGGATGTGTTTGAATACAATTCTGTCTATAGGATTAAGTTTGCTGTATAGAAAAGTTTTGCATTTCTATCATTTAAATGTGTGTGGAAAGAGTCACTCTGACCTGGTGGAGCAGGGTCACAGATAGTAGAGGCCCAGACCTCTTCCCACTCCTTCACTCCCTGCTTCTCCTCAGGGTTCTTTATTCTTTTTTTTTTTTTTTTTGCATTTAGTACAGGGTCTACAAGGTCTCACTCATAGTGATCCTCCTGTTTTTCAGAGCCTCCCAAGCGCTGGGATTGCAGGCACCACCATGCCTAGTCTCAATCATCATCTCAGCATGCCCTGAGGGCGGGGCTGGCATAGCATGCCAGCGATGGAACCGCAGCTGCTGTGCTCTGCCTAAGCTGGCGCTTTAGTTAGCTGAGCTATCTGGCCAGCCAGGGTTCTTGATTCTTGAGCAGCAGGAGGCAGCCAGGTGGAGAGGAAGGGTGGGATCTGTCCCTTTGAGAACATTCCAGCCCTGACTGATAGGCCAGGAGAGATGGGGTTTATGACTCCCTGACTTCCGTTGAGGGGGAGGTGTGGCCTGCTTTTCCTGGCCTTTTGTGCCAACGGAGACTCCCACAGGAGAAGGAGAGAGGGCCTGTTGGGGTAGCAGCGGCAGTATCTGGCCCAGCTAGTGTAGAATTGGGGTCCCATTATAGGTGGGCCAGGGCAAGTCTGTGAACAGTGTGGGAAGGGAGGCTGGCAAGTCGGGGAGGAGGCGTCGGAGCCCATCCCCAGGAGCTTCCCACTCCCTGGGCCCAAGCGAGACCCCCGTCCTTTGGGCTTCTGTTTCCTCGCCTGGTAAATGTGGAGTTCAGTGACATAGATAATCTCAGGCCCATTTTACTATTTTCTGTGCTGTTTTAAAGGATTATGTAATATGTAATTTCTGTAAAGCTGCATGCTAATTTCTGTATTTTACAATTATTTAAATTTATATATTGATTTATTTTTCAGGGGCAGGGCAGGGTGGTGGTGCTAGGTGGTTACCCCAGGGTTCCACACGTGTTAAGCATGAGCTGTACTGTTGAACTCCCCCCAGCCCTTATACTGGTTCCTCAGTTTAATTTGTTTTAAATTCATGTGTATACACATGTTCATCTATATCTATCAGTGTTACAATCATACTGTGTTTTTATTATTTTTCAGTTTCCAATTATAAAGTATATACAGCTTATAAGTTTATCGTGTTAGCTACTTTTAAGTGTATGTACTCTTCACTAGTGGTAAAAACCTTATTGTGCAAGGTTTTTATTTTCTTTCTTGCCTACCTGTCTGCTTTTGCTATATCACCAGCCTGAGTTTAGTGTTATCTGTAGGAGCTTTGTTTTGACCAGGAAATGATGACTGGCAGTTGTTTCATATGCACTTTTTTTTTTTGGTGTGGAACCGGGGATCGAACTCAGGCAGGCCCTTGAGCTTGCCAGGGAAGTGCTTATTCCACTGAGCATCTCCCCAGCCCATATGCACTTTCAAATGTGGCTTTTTATTAAACCTTTTAAAAAGAGACGTGCTTGTCACATGAAATACACAAGTTTTAAGTGTTTAGTATGAAGCATGTTTTGATAGAGATACATCCTAAATAAGGTATGAGTGTGTCATCAAGTGGTTTTGGTTTTAATCTGAAGTCAAGGAATGTAGGGGCTGGAGGAGTCTGTGGTGATCCATCCATCTTAATCTGGCTTTACAGATCCAGAAACCAGAAATTGAAGCCTGAAGGTCCAGGGCTAATATTTCCACCTGATCTGGATGGTAGTTAAAATGAAGGGAGAATCTTATGTCTGTTTTTGAGTGTTTTAATTTGTGTCTGTACTTACATAACATTGGTGTCTGGTGTCTATCACTTTACTTTCTAAGATTAAAAACCAGAGTTTTGCAAGTGGTAAAATTAGATCCCTGCCGTGCTAGCTGGGCTGCCTTTTCTTTAGCTGGTGGGCACAGGTCATGTGGAGAGGAGGCCATTGTGCTGTCCTTCAGATTTGACTGGATAGCATTTTTAGTTTTTGCTTTTGGTTTTTGAAGTCAGAGTCTTTCAGTTGCCTAGCCTGGTGTTGCCAAACTCCTGGTCTTAAGTGATCCTCCTGCCCCAGGCTCCTGAGTAGCTGGGACCACAGGTGGGAGGAAGCCTCTGTGCCCGCCTTCAGTAGGGAGAACCTTTCTGAGAGGTATCTGCCTAGTCCTGTGGATAGCACAATTTCCTGGCTAAGAAAGAGAGGGAACAGTGTGGAGCCATCAGGGTGTTCCCACCTTCCCTTCTGGTGCAGGGTATACTGTGGGAGTCAGCCCATCCTGAGACTGTATCTCCCACTGGGCTTGTAGAACCCGGCAGTAGAGCAGCCGCCTTGCCTGTGTCTGCTACATCAGAGAATCAGAAGCGAGCCCCCAGGTGGGCTCAGTGGTGGCAGTAATTGGGTTATGGGGGCTTCCGTATCGGGGGTGTTCAGTAAATGTTCATTTGATAGATGATGTGGGGTCAGGGACTTCATGAAACTCATACTCACAGATCCTTTCCAAAGCGTGGATGTCCTACACTTTCTTTGTTTTTGGCAGGAGGGACAGATGGTTATTTCATTACCTGAGAGTTGCCTGCTCACCACGGACACAGTGATTCAAAGCTCTTTAGGAGCGTATATCACTAAGTAAGTGATCTTAGCGTGCTTATCTGGTGCCAGCGGTTCTCCCCAAAGCCTTTGTCATTGAGAAGCATCCTATCTAAGGGACAGTTCATGAATGGCAAGCCCTTTGTCTGGCTAAGAAATACCTGAAATGAATGAAAAGGTTTTTTATTTCCAGTTCTAGGAAGTTAATTCATTGTTAAGTGCATTTTTATGGTCTTTGATAGGCTTCCTGGGATGGGAATGTGGATCCCCATCCATTGTTTACTAGTAAATGAAAATAAATAGAATAATACAAGTGCCTTGTCTACTAATAGCCTAGTCTCTTCCACTATAGTGGATCTGGACAGTGGTTCATTAACTATTTTAATTTTGCCCATGATTGTACTTACTTGAATTGTTCTTCATCTGTGAAGAGCTTTGACATAACGGAACTATTGGTGTCCTTAGGAAGAGAGGGAGGGTCTGATGTGGAAGTGGGAACTGTTTTCTGGCTCGTGTGTGGTGGGGCTCTGCAGTGGGAGTGAGAGGATTTTTAAATGATTAGGGCTGTTTCTTAGCACTTACTGTAAGCTGTAGATTTTTACCTGGCATGTTTTTGAATAAGAGTAATACAGATTAGGTCTGATTGACAAGGCTGTTCCTGGGATTAACATTTGAGGAGTTCTGAGTTATTTCTCAAGTTTTACATAGACTATATCCCAATGTACAAATCTGGACTTTGGAGGATTAATGAAAACTTTTTCTAAATACATTCATGTTGTAGGAGATCTTTTTTTTGATAAGTATGTAAAACAATACTATGATGCATAATCTATAATAGAGCACATTTAGGAGTAAAAGCTTTAAAATGGCAGCAAGTTCAGGATGAACATGTTCAGCTTACAGGCCAAGTTGGTTCAGTCTTGTATAGCTTTTGGTAGTGACAGAGAGATACAACTTTCTCTTGTCTAGTATGGTGCACATAGGCCACAGATAGGCCTTGGTTTTTGGAAATATGGCTTATCCTGCTTAATTGAATTCAAATACTTGAATCCAAATAATTGAATTTTAAGTATTATTCAGTTTTAAGTAATTTCAATTCATAGTGGCACGCATGTATGCAGTCTTTGCTGTGTTGAATTGTGCAGTCTAAACTGCTTTCCACACCATATTTTATGTCTTTATCCAGGTGAAAAAAATGGGCTTATTGCAAAAGCTCTCAAGCTGGAGAAATAAGTTGGAGGCTTTTGCAGAAAGGATTCTCTTATAGAGGAACCCATCAGTCTGGTTAGAGGGTCTGATTTTCTGACATAATTATGCTTTGTTCAGAGCACGTGTATGGAGTGTGTTCTGGAGAGGAAAAACTTGTAAACTGTCTTGGATGCATGAAGTCAACTTAGATTACTAAGATTACTAAGTTTGAGCACAGTCCTGTGGCATAAAACAGACCAAAATATGCTTTTTCCATATTTTGAATAAAGGCCATTTCTGTAACCAGCTTTTCATTTTACAAGGTGGAAGCCTGCTCCGTCTCCTCTGTTGGCTCTGTGCACCTTTTTAGTTTATGAAAAGCATGCTGGCAATCGGTCTGTCTGGAAGCCTTACCTGGATATTTTGCCCAAGTCTTACACCTGCCCTGTTTGTTTGGAGCCAGAAGTGGTGAATCTTCTTCCCAAACCTTTAAAAGCAAAGGTTGAAGAGCAGAGAACTTCCGTGCAGGAGTTCTTTGCTTCCTCCAGAGACTTTTTTTCTTCTCTGCAGCCTCTGTTTGAAGAGGCCATTGAAAGCGTGTTCAGCTACAGAGCCCTCCTGTGGGCCTGGTGCACCATCAACACCAGAGCAGTGTACCTGAGGACCAAGAGGCGGGCCTGCCTTTCCTCAGAGCCTGACACCTGTGCGCTGGCTCCCTACCTGGATCTGCTGAATCACAGCCCAAATGTCCAGGTGAGAAGCTGACGTGAAGATGCATATTTTGTTTTGAGAGGCAGAATCCACCATGTAAAATCTGGAAAGGCGTTAAGAGAGATGCTTTGAGTTTGAAGTTGTTACACCAGCCTTTCCCTGCTCTGTGTTCTACAGGCTGCAGTCTGACTCAGTGTGCTTTTCCTTTGCTCCCTGTCTCCACTGTCCTAGCCTACAGGGCTCTCTGCTGTTCCTCTGGAGAGCCTTTACCTTTGACCCCTGGTTGTAGGATCCTCCTTTCTCTTCCCTCTTCCACACTGGCTGAAGTGTAGCTTGCTTTCCCTCCCATCCCTTTCATCCTTGCTAACATAGCTGGAAGAGCCTGCATCTTTGCATGAGGCCCTGACTGACTGCCTCCTTTCTCTACAAGCCTGAAATCTGTTGAGGTTAGAGGCTTTGTCTTGTCCCTCTTTGCGTCCCCAGTGCTCAGAGCAGGCCTGGGGCCGCAGTAGGTGCTCAATAAATGTTCACTGCATGGATGAGTGTTCTTGGGGAACAGATTCTGGGAAATCATGAAAGATTTGCATAGGGAAACAGTCACAGATATCTTCTCTAGCCCCTTCCTCATGTGGCATTTGCAGGACCTTGTGGGTAAAGTCCTGACTAGAGGGAGAGAAATGTCCATCGGGAAGCTTCTCTGGAGCTGACTGAGGCACAGTGTGAACCACATGGCTGGGACGTGAGCCTTTGCCATCCTCTTGGTGTGACATGCCACTACCATAGGGCTGATGTTGTCCTGTTGAGCCCCCATGACAGTGAGAGGAGAGCTTAGGGAAGTCCTGCTGGGTTTCTTGCGCTCAGGCCAATCCTCGGGCCTGTCCACCTTTTACTATTATAGGAACTCAGCAATTCTTAGCGCAGTAGTCTGAGGTGAGTTGAATGTGTGTGGTTGATGTTTAAGAAAAAGTGACAGTTTTTCATTGTAGGTAAAAGCAGCATTTAATGAGGAAACTGGCTGTTATGAAATTAGAACGGCCTCAAGTTGTAGAAAACATGAAGAAGTGTTCATCTCTTATGGACCTCATGATAACCACAGACTGCTTCTGGAATATGGATTTGTTTCCTACTGCAATCCTCATGCTTGTGTCTATGTCTCAAGAGGTTAGAGATTACTTCGTTAACGGTTAAGATCACATTTTTCCCATTAGGAGATATGGTTATTTTTAGTTTTTTTTTAATAGCAAAACCTTCAAACATCCTTATATATCAATATTTATTTCATTCTGCGGAAAGCTAACTTACAGATTCTGATTTAAGTGTGGAAGTTGAAACAGCACGGCTTTGATAATGAGTGTGAGGAGAACTGAGAGGTGTTTTATGGCAGTAGGTCAGAAGGTAGAAGATGAAGAAGGAAATGAGTGTATAAGCAGAGGGAGGGATGAGAATACTGGTCCTGAGGCATTGTCGGTTGCCTAAGACAGGGTGTGATCACGGAGCAATGGATGACAAATATTTACTCAGCTCCGACAGTATTCAGGACCCTGCTAGCCACGGGGACAAGTCTTACTACATCCTTGTTTTTGGAGTTTAATGCGGTTATAAAGTTGATTTTATTTATGTTCTTTTGTGATCTAACATGCCACCTTCATTTATATTTCTATTTAAAATAACTAGTCATTACATTTAGAGGACTAAAAGCCCAAATTTAGTATTAATAACAGTACAGAGAAGGCTGGAGGTGTGTGTGTGTGTGTGTGTGTGTGTGTCCCCGTGTCCGTGTCCGTGTCTGTGTCCATCCCTGTGTGTCCGTCCCTGCCCAACAGGGAAGCATCGGGGTGGGAACGAAATAGCCATGTTCCCCAGTGTGTAGTTTGAGGTAAGGACAGATAAACTTAGGAACTTGGCCAAGGCAGTTTAATGATCATATAGGCAGAATAGTGGTAATATTTCTCATAATAGAAATAAAAATGGAAAATTAGAAACTATACTTTGCAGTATATATTAGGAAACTAGCTTTTGGATTGGACTCAGTGTTCAAAATCCAGATAATTAAAGTTTATGACTGCAAAATAGTAGTTATCAAATCAATCAATTTGGGCAAAATTACATTTAGTTACTTTTACATTCATAAAGCGAAGTAGGGGCGGAGGGTACAGCTCAGTGGTAGAGCACTCACCTCACTTGTTCAAAACTGGTCACATTCGCAGCACCACACGAAACCAAACCAAACAAAATTTAAAAAGACCCCCCCCCAAAAAAAGCCTTTTGCTACCCTATTCCTCTCAGTAGCTCTGTTAAGTTTTTGCATACCTATTTTAAATCCCCCCCCCTTTTTTTTTTTTTTTGGTCCTAATCATTAATGTCCAGACCATGTTGAATTTTGGCTTTTAAAACTCAGTCTCATAAAACTTTTTCCTCAGGCTTTACAGACCCTACTATTTTTGGTTGTTATTTTCCAGAAGCAAGCATAATGTCTTAATTCGCTGTTTTTGTCAGTTGAGTTACTTAGTGGGAGCTGAGCTTGTGAATGTTTTGTCCTCCAGCCTGGGAAGTCTTATAGCTTGTCTGGGACTAGTGAACTCATTGAATTGGGCTGGAAGAGATTTATGTGAATTAGAAACACTGTTTAAACATGCATCCTGTGATTCAGTTGCTGATGGGAAGGAAAGTTGAGAAGGGGAGACATACTTCTGTCTTAATTCCACCCTAAATCTCTGATTTTTTTTTTCTTTTCAATGTAGAAATGCTTGTTAAGTATCTTCCATCAACAGATAAACAGATGAACAAAAAGATTTCCCTTTTAAAGGATCATGGATTTCTGGAGTAAGTATTACACTTGCCCTCTTTTTTTTTTTTTTTTAAA